CCCCCAGACTTTAACTTAAGTAATAAATGTATCCCATATCTTTAACTTAATTAATACATGTATCGCATGTCTTTAATTTGAGTAACACATGTATTCAAAGTCTCTAACTTGAGTAAACAAATGTATCCCATGTCTTTAAATTGAGTAGTTCATGTATCCCATGTCTTTAACTTGAGTAATAAATGTATCCCACGTCTTTAACTTGAGTAATAAATGTATCCCCAGTCTTTAACTTGAGTAATAAATGTATCCCAGTCTTTAACTTGAGTAATGCATGTTTTCTAATTTGAGTAATGCATGCATCCCATGTCTACTTGAGTAATGCATGTATCCCATATCTTTAACTTGAGTAATGCATGTATCCCAGTCTTTAACTTGAGTAATCCATGTATCCCCAGACTTTAACTTGAGTAATAAATGTATCCCATGTCTTTAACTTGAGTAACAAAGGTATCCCCAGTCTATAAATTGAGAGCAATAAATGTATCCCATGTCTTTAGCTTGAGTAATGAATGTATCCCAGTCTTACACTTGAGTAATCCATGTATCCCCAGTCTTTAATCTGAGTAATCCATGTATCCCCAGTCTTTAATCTGAGTAATGCATGAATCCCATGTCTTTAACTTGAGTAACACATATATCCCCAGTCTTTAATCTGAGTAATAAATGTATCCTATGTCTTTAGCTTGAGTTAAAAATGTATCCCAGTCTTTAACTCGAGTAATGCATGTATCTCATATCTTTAACTTGAGTAATGCATGTTTTTTTTAATTTGAGTAATGCATGTATCCCATGTCTACTTGAGTAATCCATGTATATCATATCTTTAATTTGAGTAATACATGTATCCCAGACTTTAACTTTAGTAATAATGAATCCCATATCTTTAACTTGAGTAATCCATGTATCCCAGTCTTTAACTTGAGTAATCCATGTATCACCAGACTTTAACTTGAGTAATAAATGTATCCCATGTCTTTAACTTGAGTAATATATGTATCCCCAGACTTTAACTTGAGTAATAAATGTATCCTATGTCTTTAGCTTGAGTTAAAAATGTATCCCAGTCTTTAACTCGAGTAATCCATGTATCTCATGTCTTTAATCTTGGTAATGCATGTATCCCATGTCTTTAGCTTGAGTAATAAATGTACCCCAGTCTTAAACTTGAGTAATCCATGTATCCCCAGTCTTTAATCTGAGTAATGCATGTATCCCATGTCTTTAACTCGAGTAACACATGTATCCCCAGACTTTAACTTGAGTAATAAATGTATCCCATGTCTTTAACTTGAGTAATCCATGTATCCCAGTCTTTAATTTGAGTAATCCATGCATCCCAGTCTTTAACTTGAGTAATCCATGTATCACCAGACTTTAACTTGAGTAATCCATGTATCCCATGTCTTTAACTTGAGTAATCCATGTATCACCAGACTTTAACTTGAGTAATTCATGTATCCCATGTCTTTAACTTGATTAATACATGTATCCCATGTCTTTAACTTGAGTAATCCATGTATCCTATGTCTTTAATCTGAGTAATGCATGTATCCCATGTTTTTTTAATCTGAGTAATGCATGTATCCCATGTCTTTAACAAGTAAAACATGTATCCCATGTTTTTAACTTGAGTAACAAATGTATCCCATGTTTTTAATTTGAGTAATAAATGTATCCCATGTCTTTAACTTGATTAATACATGTATCCCATGTCTTTAACTTGAGTAATCCATGTATCCTATGTATTTAATCTGATTAATGCATGTATCCCATGTTTTTTAATGTGAGTAATGCATGTATCTCATGTCTTTAATCTTGGTAATGCATGTATCCCATGTCTTT